GGACCGGAGTCCTTTCGCGTAGCCTAAGAGACATCAACTCCTTAGTCGTCACAAACCTCATTGTCATAATGCTCTCACCACACACGATCTCGAGGTAAGCCTATATGTTAACAACATAAAGGTTATTCTCATAATTCATCGCTAACTTGGGCGACTAGGTGCTATCATATAACACTTCGTCAAAATGGACACCCTTCTCCCATAAGTGGTGGTTTCCTAATGAATCGAGATATCATGAAGTTTGGTCGGAGTATATTTGAGTATGCACAATTTCTCTTGGAGCAAAAGCACCAAACGAATATTTATTGAGCTAATCAAAGTTATTATTGCCATTAAGTTTTGTTGGTGTTGAGAATTGACGATAAGGGATTCTTAGCATTTATACTGAAAAGCTTTAAGTAGACTTATAAAAGATAATTCGTTATTAATGATTGAAATTAAAGATTTGGACTTTTATCCATTAATTGTACTCCCACTAAATTTTATCAAATTCCACTACCCTCTAGCAGACAAACGAGAAAACTTATTTTTCTTTTAATGGGCTTTAGGTCCAATAGGCAAATGTAACCCGTAGTTAATCTAGCCCGATTACATTTGTCCAAAGGTAGATCTCCATCAATCATATCATTATATGACCCTAAAGATTTATTTTCCTCACACTTGATAATGACCTAAGTTAATCTCGCGAATTCAAAATCTTCATGTGTCAAGTCTAACCTACCAATCAAAGATGCTCATAGAACTGATTATACCAAACTAATGCAGCCCCTAGTTAATCTAGCCGACCACGTTAATCTAGCATAACCCTTTCTATGGCTACCTTCATCATTATGTCAATTAAATTATAGCTTACCCTACTATAGCACTCCCCGCTAACACGGCTTACTGCACTATTGCAAGGAGCTACACATAATTTAACCGTTGGTAGAAGGAAAGAAAAATTCAACATATTGGTTTTTCTTTATAGCTTGAATAATTCTTAATGAATTAAGAATGAGGGATTTGTTATTGTTTTGTTGTTATCTCATCATAATTATTGGACGGGTCAATTGGATTCCTACAACTATGTTCTCTGAAGGTATATGGAAACGCATATTGTCCTAAGAGGAACATTCGACCTAAATTATAATTAATTACAATAATTAATTATGATGATTTGTTTCAAAATAATTAAAGGAACTTAATCAACATAAATCAATCAAATAAGATTAAGGTACAATTAATTTAGTTGAATTATAATCACTATTATACATGTGTTCTATTAATGAAACTAATTTAATGTTTAAATTAATTAATTAATCAAACACTCATTTATTGAACATTATTCACTAATGGATCGAATTTATGGATTGGGCTTTAATTGATAAATAATTTCAAAAATTTAAAAATCAATTTAGATTTAATTTTAATTTCTGGAAAAAGAATTATTTATTTATTTTTCCTACTGTCTGAACAAGTTAGACCCGGTCGGACCGGTTGGACCGGCATGACCGAGTTGTCCGGCCCGGATAGTTTTGAGAAAAATCATTTTGGAATTTAAAACTCAAATCCAATTTTAATTTTAAATCCAATTTCCAATTCCAATTTTAAAATCGATCAAAATCCAATTTTCCAATTCCAATTTCAAAATTGATAAAATCCAATTTTAAAATTAAATCCAATTTTCTAATTCCAATTTTAAAATCAATCAAATCCAATTTTAAAATCAAATTCAATTTTCTAATTCCAATTTTAAAATCGATCAAATCAAATTTTAAAATCAAATTAAAATTAAACCAACTCAATTCCGATTTCACCAATTCAATCAATTCAATAAACTATTCACATGCAATCGAAATCAATAAACACGTAGGCAATTAGTTGCGCAACCGTAGCTCTAATACCACTGTTGGGGATCAGGCACGTGTACGCAGCGGAAAACAAAAAATTGTATTTTATTTATATAAAGTAATTTATGTAAACAAACACATGCACAATAATTACAATTAATTGCGTACATTTTCGCTTCCAATCACCGACAAACATGCTCGCATATATAATTAATTTAAATGACATAAATTAAAACATCATAGAATGCTCGTGAAATTAAATCAAATAATTAACATGCTCAACGAACGATTCACATTAACACATAATCGAACATATAGATTCATGTGATTCAATAATCAATTAACATACATTAATTTCAATTAATATAAATTAATTAATATATATATAAATATATATATATATATATATATATATATATATATATTAATTAGGGAAAACGATACTTTACCCTCGAAGCGTGAATCGAACGAAGACACGAGAAGATGGCTAGCTGCTCTTCCCACTCCAACTGATCCAACATCTATTCTGATCCGAAATTACAGGCCTGCTCCGACTTCAATATCACCATAGTTATTGAATGGATCACAATTCCTTTTGGGAAATTGTAGATCCATAAGTTGTGAAGGTTCTGTCAAAATTTCACGTCCATCCGATCACCAGTTGAGTTATGGGGAATTGTCTCGCTGGACTGCGCAGAAAATCCGAGAGCAGTTTTTCAGAATCGCCTTCTCGCATCATCGGCTTGTGGAGGCGCGTGGGGGCGCGTGGGGACGACCCTGGTGGCAGCGTTGGCGGCATAATAATCTTCCTCCTCTTAGGTTTCACCTCGTATATTCAATCCACTATCCACGCAGCACTAGATATGTGATAGGCTAAGTACAACGAAGAAGAACGAAGCGAAAAGAAAGATGCCGATGCGACGGAACGTGTATATAAACTACCCACTAAAAAATGTGCAAGGACGTGTATATAACATGACTCAACTTTTATAACTAAAAGACCTATTCTTATGGCTAATGAAATTAATTTACCGACTAATCTACTAATATTAGTAACTAACTTCACACTAAATTTTATACTCGTATCAAAATCTAATATCCGTTTAGTTCAATTTTGTCAAATAATAAATTTAAGGGTAAATTATAACCACCCTTGACGTATGGTCAAATTACGAAAACCCTCCTCATGTTTCAGTAATTACAATCACCCCCTCAACTATAAATCTTCATACATATCCACCCTTTCGTTTTCAAATTTAGTGGAATCTTCTAGATTATATGGAATATTCTCAATTTTGGACCCGTTTTATCCCATTCCAGCTCCACATTTTCAAGCTAGATGATCTTAAGATGTGTTTTTTAGCTTGTATAAACTAGATTGTGGTGCATCAGAAACTGTATTTTTGCACAAAGATTTGAATCGATTAAGTTCAACCATTGACATGAATTATTAATCGAGTTAACTATTTGTAATTAATAAGCAATTCAATTTTAACAAAAAAATAAAAATTTAATTCGTAAGAATCAAGACGTAAAATGTAAGATTTAATCTAACCGTAATATTTGAATCAATTTAATCTTATGATTTAGGATTTGATTCTTACGAATTAACTTATATTATTTCTTATGTGATAAAATTCAATAATAAAAAAAAAAAACGAAACTGTAACTATACATAGTTAATAGATTAATATGCTCTTGCAAATTGTTGAGCTTAATCGATTCTAATCTTTGAATATTGTTTACGAATTGAAATGACTTGAGGTAGTCGATTCAAAATTTTGAATATTGTTTTCGAATTGAAAGCACTTGAGCCTAATTGATTGAAATCTTACGATGAACGATTCGATGCAAACATCAAATTCTTTCGAAATTCTTTTTTAAAATTACACAAGTGGATCCACAATTCTTTATATTTTCTAAAAAAATATCATATATAGATTTGTTAAGGGTGAAGATTTTTAATATCCAATAGTAATTATACGAGCATTAATAATTTATATAACATTATTTATATATGTTTTATAATCATAATACAATGTAGTTTTGTGATATACATGCTTATTATTAGAGAATTGTCAATAGTATGTTATATCCCAATGATAAGTATTCATTGTACGCTTTAAAGGGTCATAACCATTTTTGGGCGGGTAGTTAAATGATTTTCACGAGTAATAGTGTAATTGACTTTCACGAGTTCAATACATAAATGAATTTAAAATTTATAAAAATATAAGGGGTAAAAAAGACATTTTGCATAAGATTTATTATTTATATTTTTTAGTAATAAATATTAACGGCGTTTGGGCCAATAAATAAATCACTTAAAAATCATGTGTGCTCAAGGGACATGTGGCGCGATGTTAGAGGCATATCTCACATGAGTTGTGTTCTTGTGATCTCACTGACTCACACTAGAAACTTCTATGATAATAATGTTCTCATTTTCTGTTAGGATGCACCATATATTCAGCCATGGTTGTGAAATCGTAAATCGAATCGCGAATTAATTTATCAGAAGAAAAGAAAAACAATTTTAAATTTAATCGAATCGTCAATCGTTAGATTTTTTATTCTTTTAAAAATAATAAAGATAATCATGATATATAAATATTATAAGAATTATATACTGTAATAACAAAAAAAATTATTTCTTTTAGAATTTATGAAGTCAAACTATAAAAGTTGTATCTTGCCTCTTAAAATTGAAATTCAATAAGTGCTTTAACAAAATTTCCAACACAATAAAATCAATAAGTTATAACATCTATATCAATTCTCATATTCAATATTATTAAATATTAAAAGTGTCCATAATTCACAAATGAATGATATAAAAAATATAAAGACTTAGACTTAATCAAATATAAACTAATGTACAACTACAGATGAGGAGTAGAATAAAAATACTGTATTGTTATTTATTAATTATATTTTAGAGGTAGAAAGTGTTGACAATAAACAAATTAACTTTTCATAATCAAAGTCTAATGTCTTTATAATCGAACTTTATCATAAAAAAAATACAGTAAACTTAAATTTCCTTGAATCATAAAAATCGTACTCCGTAAGAATCGAATCGTAATCGTAAGATTTAATCGATGTTTTGACATTTAAGATTTAACCATGGATATAAATCGATTTAGGTAGGAATCGCATTGTAAGATTTTAATTACCATGCATTCAACTTTAAAGTAAAATCTTAAATAAATTGAAACAAGAAGTTTATTTCTGTAATATCTAGAGAAAATGTTGTACAAATAATCCTAAATAAATTAAACTTTCAATAATAAGGATATTTGAATTGTACAAGTAATAAATTAAAATTTAGGAGCGAATAACTTGAGTTTTCTTTTGAAATAGAAAGAATTGAAAAACGTATAAAAGTAAATCACGAATGAAAGAAAAATATTATCTGCTTTTAATTTCTGAGTCTGTTTACATCCGACTCGTGGCTGCGAGGGGCCCCATTTTGTAGGCAATGTCTCTGAGAGTGAACTTCTGCACCTTCCCGGTGGCCGTTTTGGGTAGCTCCGCCATGAACACGACCGTCTTGGGCACCATGTAATGCGGCAACCTCGCCCTACAGAATTCTATCATCTCATACTCCGGCGGCTTGGGGCAGACACCTTCTTTCAAGCTCAAGAAAGCACAAGGCGTCTCTCCCCAGTAATCATCGGGCTGAGCCACCACCGCAGCCTCGTTGACGGCGGGGTTGGAGTAAAGAACGGACTCAACCTCTACGCTGCTAACATTCTCGCCGCCGGTTATGATGATATCCTTTGAGCGGTCCTTAATTTCCAGGTACCCGTCAGGGTGCATTACACCAACATCGCCGGTGTACAGCCACCCGTCTTCTCTCATGCATTTGGAAGTGGCCTCTGGATTTTTCAGATAACCAAGCATCAAGCAACCGCCTCTCACCACGATTTCTCCAAGAGTCAATCCATCTCTCTTCACACTGTTGTTCCCGATACATAAAACGGGTAGTGAATTTAGTAAATTGGTTGAACAAATTAATTAGTGAAAATACGGAAAGATTAGCCGAGGCGAGTTGACTCTGTCCTTAAGACGAAATTTCCCCGCAACGGTGCTAACGGATTAAATGGAAATCGTCTCCCAAGATACAACGGCTAAACTTGGAATAGGAGCACTCCAAATCCCAAGTACGACGAACTGTACTTTGTGTAGAACTTTTCGAGAGAATCTGTGAAGGGTAGGCTTAATATGTAGTAGGCTTATTTTTTTGATTGAAGTGAGGAATTTTGGGAAAGTTATGGTCTATTTATAAGGTTCGAAAAGTAGTGTCCTTTGGAGCAAAAGGTACCTTTTGTTTGAATGGTTGCACCATTTCGAGTTGAGCCAATTGGGAGTGGTTGCACCATTTCGAGTTGAGCCGAATGGTTTGCATTGGTTCGGCCGCACCAATTCAGACCAGTCAGACCAATCGAGATGGGCTTCGAGTAATAAGGGCCCAATGGGTTAAAAATCCATGACCTAATGTTTTTGGCCCGTCCCAATATTTTGATATATATACAGCTCAGTACTTCTCTACTTTTCCAATGTGGGATAACTCAAATCCCACTTTCCTTATATTTTGGACTAGTAATTTTTTCATTCACCACAAAATTGGTTCTAATCCAAAATTCATTTATATACTCAATTAGACCGTACAATAACATTGATAAAAAATTGTTCATGACTCAATTTTTTAACCAATTTTCCCAACAATCCCCCACATGAATGAAAACGAGGGCGTCGATTCTCTCTAGAGTTCCCACGAATAGTATTGCATCGGGATAGGTAGCATATAGCTTTGAACCTTCCGTAGTGGAGTTACATCGGATTTACTAGGCTGAGTAGTGAACGCGATGTCTTGAACTGTCAGCCGTTCGTGTAAACCAAGACAATGCAACCCACACAATACTATTCTCACATTTCCTTAGTTCTCATGATTGTGTCCGTTTTGGCCATGGACACACATCTTGGATTCATAAGTGTTTGTCAAGTTTTTGAAGCGGCCCTCACTTCATACACTTACATAGGTGATCTCCTATTAAAGGTATCCTGCCAATACCTCACCTTTTGTTATAAGGTTTTGGAATCATTAAAAGCTTTCGCTTATCCTTTACCCTCTCTGCAGGTAGCACTATTATCTTTCGCGGGAATGAGTTAGGAATGAGTTCCTTAGTGCTCAACTGAACTTTCTTAGCTTAGTTGTCCCTTTTGAACCAGTTCTTGGGATCTCCAGTCAGCATGGTTGGGTTACCACCAAGATTGTCCTTAATTTATGGGTTTTAATCCCATTCCCCTAGATAGGCAATATGTTTGATCTCTTTAGTTGACTTTTAGTCGCGGATCCGCTATTAACCATTGATTTTCATAATCAATGTTATATTATTTCTTTTGAGATCAATTGCCCAATGGTCTTATGTGTACGAGTGTATCGATACTTGCCATTATACATGTCGTTTGTGCCCTTAACGTAACCGATTGGTTATCACAATTTATTCATAATTGTAGACACCGACTTAGTCCAACACGGAACATCCTCCAATAATTTTATGAAGTTTATTCAACTTCTTTTATAATCCTTATCTCAAGTTATACATTCGAATTCGACCATGAATCGAGCTATTCAATTTTGTTTGAGGATTTCCAAGATACATAATCTTAGTGGACTCTTTACATCCAATGTACTTTCCTAATACAATTGGATATTTTCTTTAATGTAATCCATTTAAAGGCGATACTTAGATTACCTAAGAACCCTTATAATATCATTGAATGATTATTTATTTTGGAATTACATATTTACTAGTTTGCAATTCATTATGCTGCCAAACTATCCAAAAATATTTGTAACTGAACCATTGTTCATCATTATTTTTGGCAAGGTAAACCCTTGGTCTTTAGATAACTAGATCAATTTTTCTAGTAGTGCCTCAACATGAGACTTTCAATATGACTATCTTTGTCTTAGTGATTTTAATCTATAAGATTACATCGTCTAGACCCTCGTCTTTTGACATCAAACATAATTTTATTTCTATTTTCAATATTTTCTCAACGTTCAAACTAATATCATGATCATTATCTCATGATTATAATGTCGTCTATGGACATACACTTCCATGTGCTTTTAATATAAACACAATGGTCACACTCGTTATTATGAGAACTATTTGATAACACAATTTTATCAAATATTACTTTAGAATCACTTAACGAGTTTCAATATCTTGTTATAAATAATCAAGATTTTCCATAGCTATTTAATTTAGCTTAATTGGACCACCATTTTAATTCTTCTTTTGAATAGTCCATCTAAACCTTAATGGTTTACTACTTGAAAGAAGACAATTGTCCATCGTTCATTTTATAACTCATGTATTGATTTTCTTTGCCATCTTGTTGTATCTTGATTGTTCATCACTTTGATGATTTACCACTCACACATATATTAACTTAGTTGTTCATCACTTTGATGATTTACCACTCACACATATATTAACTTGGTTGTTCATCACTTTGATGATTTACCACTTACACATTTATAAGTTCTTTTATTACGAACTTATTTATTTTCTTATTTTACAAGAAAACACAATATAATCAATTTGCATCAAGAGTGACTATCTTGTGCACAATCATTATTTATCCACTTAATTATACTAGGCCTTACACCCCCACATTTCTAAATATAAATGTGATTACTGGTTAGAGCCTAAAGACCCCCACATTTTTTAAATATTAATGTGGTTAGCTCGGGGTATCTAATTTATGTGTTTAGGGCCTAAAGACCCCCACATTTCTAAATATTAATGTGGTTAGCTCGGAATATCTATTTTTCCCCACAAATTCTAGAGTATGTATTCTAGAATTTATCATTATGATATCCATAAATTTTTTCAAGAGTTTCCATACTCATTTTTTAATTCATTTGTCAAAGTTGCATTTTCCAACTTTCATTCAGATAGCATTTAAATGCTTTGAAATCCTTATTTTTTATTTATCAATAAGGATACACAATGTAATAAAATACATTTCTTCTTTAGTTAGAGAAATATATTGGATCACCAATATGATTTAATTACAAGAGAAATTGTATTTCAAGAAATCACAAAAAGAGAAATATTCTCAAGATACTTAAATCTTGTCAACAAATGAGATAGTAAGATTTCTTCCTTTTCCTCAAAAGAGAAAATTCGTCAAGATACTTAAATCTTGTCAATAAACAAGAGAATATTAATCTCTTCAAATGGTGGTTGATCTCCACTATTCAACATTAAAGTTAGAATATATAAATTCTAATCTTAATCATTCATAATTTAGGATTGCATGTCCTAAACATGCTGTTCAAAATTCAGTCAAATCCAACGATTTAATTCTACAAAACGAGCTCTTAATTAAACTGCTCGAATTTTATTTCAACAAAACATCCATTGTTGTTAACAACTATTTCGGATGTTTGAAAATAAAATTCAATCTCATCCATTCACATTTTAGATCATCACCTTGTAAATGTGATATCAAAAAAAATCAAATCGAACCAACAATTCGATCTTCTCTTATGTTCTTGAGACAAGAACTACTCATGTGCTCTCATGAATTGAGCTTCTCTTTCTTTCTATTTTATTTCAATTCATGCTTTTAATTAAACCGTAGTATGATTCATATATAAAACATATGTACATCAATATTATAATAAACATAATATTTGACATGTGAGCACGTCTTTCATACTAGTTGTGATCATAGAAAGAAACAATTTATCAAGCATATTATATCAACATATACATAGTATACACACGATCATCAAATTTGAACATAATATTTCATGGCATAAATAAATTCATATCCAACATAATGAATTGATAAAAATTCTATAGCACGTAATCAATGCATGTCCATGCAATAACACAATTCTAAGGAATTAGTATGGCTTACGCAAATAATAATATGTATAATAATATTCCTCTTACTAAGTAAATCATACTTAATATACGAGACAAGTCTAATCGATCATGACAAAAAAAAACGTTAATAAGATCACGTACTCACATATTCGAAAATCAATCAACCGGACAGTTCCACATCAAATGAAAATTGGGAGAAAGTTAATCCCATATCAAACTATATTGCATTTTCATGAGAAATGTCATTAGTATAGCACTTATCATGCGGTTTATGATAAACTTATTCAAATAATTAGCACATACGCTATCACTTTATTTTATTTAGGATAAACATATTTCTATTATTTATGTACATACACAAACATAATGAATATTCATTAAGCATATATATTGTATATGGTTTACCATGCTTCCACATAGAAAATTAAACTATCATGCAATAATCCACCATCATATAGCATTATCAATATATTTCACAAATAGATATCTTATAATTAAAAAACGTACCCGATAAATTATATGTTCGTCAATTTAAAATTTTGTGGGTAGCACCAAATTGTGTCAATATTATGGCAGTGCTGAATGATTTATTCATATCTCTTCCGTCTGAAGTCCGATTTTGTTGATTCAATATGATCCGAACAGCCAACAAACTTTTCTGCAACTTTTATATTTTACGTTTTCTGAGATTCGGACTGGATCATGATCAAAATAAGCCTCGAAGTCGGAATAGGTGTGCTGTAAATTTGCACCTACAATGGAACCAGAAAAAATTATTAAATAATATTCATGAATCAAAAATAATATAAAACCTCATTATTGATCTTCGATTCAGTCCTCTTTCACCAAAATTTCGTGCATTGGACATTGGTGATGCGTTGATATGCGACGAGTTGCATTGGTCACCAACGGTTGTAATTTCTCATGAAAAGGTGCATCGGCAGTTCTGCCACCCTTTCGTGTTTTCATCATAACTTCCTCATACGATCTCCGATTGTGACGATTTAACATGTTCTGGAAAGCTAACTTGATTATCTACAACTTCTGTGAAATGTTAATTTGCCATATTCGGACTTTAACACCTTTGAAAATGGGAAAGAATGTGGACTTCATGTTCTGTCCGAAAATGAACTTTCTCCAATTGTATTTTGTAACTTCTTGATTTTTGGCAGACTATCTTCTTCTCCATCTCGTTTACCAACGTGTGCAGAAAACACAATTTACTAAATCACAAAGATTTCGTCTTAAGATTGTTGTTCCCGATACATAAAACGGGTAGTGAATTTAGTAAATTGGTTGAACAAATTAATTAGTGAAAATACGGAAAGATTAGCCGAGGCGAGTTGACTCTGTCCTTAAGACGAAATTTCCCCGCAACGGTGCTAACGGATTAAATGGAAATCGTCTCCCAAGATACAACGGCTAAACTTGGAATAGGAGCACTCCAAATCCCAAGTACGACGAACTGTACTTTGTGTAGAACTTTTCGAGAGAATCTGTGAAGGGTAGGCTTAATATGTAGTAGGCTTATTTTTTTGATTGAAGTGAGGAATTTTGGGAAAGTTATGGTCTATTTATAAGGTTCGAAAAGTAGTGTCCTTTGGAGCAAAAGGTACCTTTTGTTTGAATGGTTGCACCATTTCGAGTTGAGCCAATTGGGAGTGGTTGCACCATTTCGAGTTGAGCCGAATGGTTTGCATTGGTTCGGCCGCACCAATTCAGACCAGTCAGACCAATCGAGATGGGCTTCGAGTAATAAGGGCCCAATGGGTTAAAAATCCATGACCTAATGTTTTTGGCCCGTCCCAATATTTTGATATATATACAGCTCAGTACTTCTCTACTTTTCCAATGTGGGATAACTCAAATCCCACTTTCCTTATATTTTGGACTAGTAATTTTTTCATTCACCACAAAATTGGTTCTAATCCAAAATTCATTTATATACTCAATTAGACCGTACAATAACATTGATAAAAAATTGTTCATGACTCAATTTTTTAACCAATTTTCCCAACACACACTCTTCCCACTCTCCGGGTCCACCACGTCCGCCGCCGTCAGCCCCAATGTCCTCACACCTTGTCTTGCCTTCAGCCTCGCCCTCTCCCCCGCCGGAAACTCGTCCCACTTCGATTTCCAAGCGCACGACACCACCACCCCGGCCAATTCAGTCATCCCATAACCATGGCTCACTACAAACCCAAGAGACTCCGACCGGAGAACCACCGCCGCCGGCGGTGGCGCCCCACCTGTCATGAATTGAACCGGGGTCTTGAGCGGCCTCGCGAGTGGGTGGTTTGCTAGCATTGTTAGGATCACGGGAGCACCGCACATATGGGTGACTTTATACATATTGATTGCCTCATATATGACACGTGGGTTAACCTTCCGGAGGCAGATGTTTGTTCCGCCGACGGCCGCCATTCCCCAGGTGTAGCTCCACCCGTTTGAGTGGAACATCGGCAGCGTCCAGAGGTAGATCGGCTGCTTCGGGACCGACCAATTGATGAGAGAATCGAAAGTGATGATGAAAATGGATTTATGGGAGTGAACGACACCCTTTGGAGAAGATGTTGTTCCTGATGTGTAATTCAGAGTCATTGGGTCCCACTCGTTCTTTGGAGAGATCCATTTGAAATCTGGATTCCCCTTCTGCACCAAACCTTCGTAAGTATCAGCGATGAGATCATCAACACTAGTGTTTGACTTTGACCTGCCGCCGTTAATATCACCATCAACATCATCATCATCGGCGGCGGCGATGAGTATGAGAAGTGGTGGTGGCTGGAATTCCGGCGGAAGCAGAGAAATTGATTCGAGTACCAGAGAGCGGAGATGGGAGTCGAAGAAGACGGCTTTCGACTCGCTGTGACGGAGGATGACGGAGATGGTGCGGGCATCGAGACGGGTGTTGATGTTGTTGAGGACGAAGCCCGCCATTGGCACCGCGAATTGGAGCTCGTACATGGCCGGGATGTTGGGCGCCACCACTGACACGACGGCGCCGCTCTGGATTCCCAGAGAGGTATGAATGGCGGATGCGGCTCTCAGGCATCGGTCGTAGGTCTGGGACCATGTGAAGGTTGTCTGATTGTAAACAACCGACGGGCAGTCGCCGTAAACAACGGCTGCTCTTTGCAAGAATGTCAAAGGGGTGAGTGGGCATGAATTTGCAGGGTTTGGTTTCAGCTGGTCCATTTATTAAAAACACTGCCAAAGCCTCTCTGTCTCTCTCTCTCTCTCTATCTCTCTCTTCAGTCTCTCTCTTTAATTACTCTCTCTCTTTTCTCTCACTCGTGAATTGTCTGCCATATATATATATATATGCAAGTACCGGTATGGTTTCTCAACTGCCATTAATGTGATTAATGAGGAGTAGATTTATCATTTATAATTAGATACCCGTGAAGATGATTAGCAATTACAGAATTTTGTTAAAGGAAAATAGCATTTATGGCCTTTAAGGGATTTGCCTGGAAAAGTTGGTGGCGGATGTAATACTTTTGTTATATTATTAACTTTTTTCTTTATTTTTCTTTTCTTTATCTGTGTTTATCTTATTCCGTTTCACTTTACTGTATATATGTTTTTAATGAATCAGGCAACTTGAAGAATGATGATATATAAATTTATGTTTTTAGGTAATGGTGATTAGACATGGCCCCGGGTCGGGTCGGGTCCGGTTCCGGGTCGGACCCGCCGGTTCCGGGTATATAATGGAGGACCCGAAACCGACCCGCGGGAAGGCGGGTCCGGGTCCGGGCCGGGTCCGCTCGGGTCAACCCGGTTCCGGGTCGGTTCCGGGCCGGGTCCGGGTCCGGACCGGATTTTTAAATTTTGTCCAAAATTGTTATGGATGGAATTCGAACCCGGGTCACAAGACACCTGAAAAGAATTCCAAACCACTGAGACAAGGTAAATATTTGGGAAATTGCTTGCAAGAAATATACATAAACATAAACAAAACAGTATGAAATGATTATAATAAATAATGTTAAATGCATTGTTAATTTTCATATTCATAATTATTAAATCATTTTAATTACATTATTAACAAATATAATATCAAAATTAAAAGGACTTTAGATTAATCCATTTAAATCTTACGATTCGATTCTAATATTTGAATAAAATGTATATGTAAAAAAACGATTAAATCATATGGTCCACAATTTAATTCCTACGATTTTTATAAATTAAATCAATTATTAAAAGAGAAATTACATCATAATATTTTGATTATACTAGTCATATATAATGTTATTTTTAAAGTAACAATATTAATTGAAATGGGATATAATCTATTTTTGTTAAAATAAACACCATTTATATAAATAATTATCTTATGATAAAATACTCAATAATATTAATAAGTTATTGTCAACAATTGAGGTTAATCGACTTAAATTAATTGAAATGGGTTATAATTTGTTTTTTTAAATAAACATATTATTTTATTTTTCATTCGATTTTTTCACACTATCGATTTTAATAACATAAGTCAATTTTTAATAAGTCAACGCATTTGTTTATATATTGAATTGATTCAATACTTTATATTTTTCAACAGTGGAGCTTATATTGATATATTAATTAATAATAGATGTTTTGAAGTATTGAATTGTGATTATATATATTTTTCTTATATTGCATTTGTTAATTATTTAATTAAAATTATTTAATAATAATTAATATGAAAATTAATAATTTATTTAACATATTTATCATTTACGCCATAGGTTTATATTATATACATTTGTTGTCTATATTTTATCAAACATATTGGTTGGCCTGGTGGTTAGTGCTCAGTGAATCATTCGGGTTACCCGGGTTCGAACCCCAATCGCTGCATTTCTGGTGATTAATTCATTAAAAATCCGGGTGGACCCGACGGGTCCTCGGGCCGGGCCCTCGGGTCCGGGTCTTCGGGTCCACCCGCCGGGTAGACCCGGCGGGTCTCGGGTCCAAGAAGTCGGGACCCGAAACCGACCCGTACTTGGTCGGGTCCGGGTCCGGGTCCATGGTCAACGGGCCGGGTCCGGGGCGGGGCGGGGCAGTCAATGGGTCGGGTCCGGGCCGGGTCCGGGTCAGACCCGACCCGTGGCCATGTCTAATGGTGATATATATTTCTTCACCATTTTTCGTTAGTTTTACAAAAGCGGCAATTTGCTATATATTCAACTACTAATTTACTATAAGAGACTTTAATTTCCTATTTTTATTAAATTTATTATTTTTATTGTGTCTAAAACAGTACATCATATATGGCTTTAAGCGCCGCAGAAAATCCGTCGAGAAAGAGTGAAAGAGCGCCGGGAAGAGTTTTAGCGACGGTTATAGACCATCCGAAAACCGTCAACAAAAAAGGCATCGTATATACTTTTATATATAAAAAAACCGTTGGGAATATTTTTCCTAACAAAAAAGGCGTCGTATATACTTTTATATATAAAAAAAACCGTTGGGAATGTTTTTCCTAACGGTTTGAAAACCGTCGGGTATAGATGTCTATATATTCTTTTTTTTTTTATAATTATTATTATTAATTTTTAATTTTTTTTGGGTTATATACAAAAACACCCCTGTACTATGGACTTTGCATCATAAATCTCCCCTGTACTACACATAAATACAAAAACCCCCTCTCACATTGCATTTTTTCCAAAATATATATATATATATATATATATATATATATATATATATATATATATATATATATATATATATTATATACTTTTGAGCCATTTTCCACTATATATTTTACCATTTTCGGTCAAATTTACGTTGAAAATTTTTGGTATTTATATTTTTTTCTCCAAAACCTCTAATTGCTTACATTTTTTTATTTTCTAAATATAACCTTTTAGTTTTGCCATTTTGAGTTTCTTCATTTTTTTTCTTAAATGTCTTCCGGTAGTTCAAACATCCTAAGATTACAAACATCTTTACAATCCTATTATTGTTGATAATTTGAACTACCGGAAGACATTTAAGAAAAAAATGAATAAATTCAAAATGACAAAAATAAAAGGTTTTTATTCAGAAAATTAAAAAAAAATCTAAGTAATTAAATGTTTTGAAGGAAAAAATAAAAAATAAAAATTTCCCAAGTAAAATTGACTGAAAATGTTAAAAAATATAGTGGAAAATGGCTCAAACAAACCCTTATATTTATAGGTTTAGCAGGGGTATTTTCGTCATATTTTGGAAAAAATATAATAGCAGGGGGGTTTTTGTATTTATGTGTAGTACATGGGGGTAAATGATACAAAGTACATAGTACAGAGGTGTTTTTGTATTTAACCCTTTTTTTTATACCTATTTACTAGCACTGCAACCTTCGAAAACCTAAAACCGGAATCCAATATAAAAAAGGGGCAATTTGCTATAGGTCCCTCTACATTATAATTTATGGCTGTAAATCCAAGTCAAAATTTAATATTTTAATAAATTAATAATATTTATTATGGCAAAAATACCAGTAATTAAATCAAATTAAATCAAATCCCCAAAAATCTCTCTATCAAAACAAATTCCCAAACATATTTTTTCCAAATATTAACTAAAACAAATAAATTAATTCATAATAAAAATATACAATTTATTTTACAAACTCATACTCTAAAAACGCCACTGCATCCCCATCACCGCCTATGATCCGGGAACTGCGACGCATATGACTTCGCGAACTGCAAATAGCAAACTGAAAACTAGATTTTATATTATTGAATTGCAAACAACAAAGTACCTATGATTTCGTCAAATGCAAACAACAAACTGAAAAAAACAAAATCCATAATTTGTATTACTGAATTACAAACAAAAAATTACATATGAGTTCGCCAAATGCAAACAGCAAACAGAAGAAATACATTCAGCAAAACTTGCATTATTGAATTGCAAGCAAAAAACTACCTATATGGCTTGGCCAAATGCAAACGGCAAACTGAAAAAAAATAATAAAAAATCAGCATCATTAAAAACATCAACCAAAAAATTGTTTATGGAACAATTTGCAAACAACAAAAACATTAAACAAAATGTTTGTAAAATGTAACTTAAGACATACCTTGCAAATTGTAAACCCGAGGAATCGAATCTCAAGATCAAACGCAATTCTTCAAACAACAAACGAAGTTAAACCAACCTGGAAACGGAAATTGTTAACAACAAAAACAATGGGAAGGTTCTACGTACGGGAGACACAATGTGAATTTTGGCTATGATTTTGGATTTATGATTTTTTTTTGGAGGGGATGTTTGTTGTCCTCTTTAATTATTTCACCAAGAAATCATCTCATAATCTAAAAAGATCCTTGTTTTTTCCTTCTCTAGAATATTTCTTCATTAACAAAAGAAAAAGAAAAAGAAAAAAGAAAAGAAAAAGAGAAGCACGAGACACAGAGAGTGAGAGGCGTGAGAATGGAGATGCAGAAGAAGAGATAGATGATGAATTAAATATAGGGGAGATTAACGTGAGATTGGAGAGAGATAATATATAAGATTTGTTTTCTTATTAATTGAGGGTATTTATGTATATATACTAATTATTTTAATTTATTTATATTAATTTATTGGATCAAAGAACCTATGCCTATATTCATCTAACAACTAGGATCTCTACCTATATATGTCCAAAATAAGGGATGTCTAACAAATTTCCCTTATAAAAAAAATCTTCAAAACATGAATTCTTTAATTTAAGAATACATAATCCTGAATTTCATTCACAATTTTTAATTACATCCACATTAGAAATTCTTCGGAACACATACCTTTTAAATATTAAAATATGACATGCAAAACATATCTTTGTAGATACTAGACATTCATTTTGATAATCAAATATATCATTTATCAACTCCTTTAAAGAGTCTATATATATATATCCACAAAATAACAAAATTGGGTACATCCTAAAAATTAAATTTGTGAGTCTTTGTTCATAACAAGCTAAGCCTCTTTCCACCATGTATCCTCTTTCCACATAATGTTACAAAATCCAATCCCAATTCCATGGACATATACAGCCTGCAAATAAATTAGAAATTACGATCAGCTATCATCATTGAATCAACAACTCAAATGTGAATAAAAAGATGGATTCTTTAGTAACATTTAGAGGGGGAATATAAAGTTACGGTTCATCATGTTTAACAGGGGACTCACGAGCTGATTCAAGGCAGAATGTTGACCTTCGAATTACAAAAAAGTAATTTAACTTGGAGTCACTCCCAATCCAA